GTCATTAAAAACTCAAATTTTATGCACCATAATCATCTAGTTCTTATGACTTTTTGAAATGGATTGTTGTACTTCAAGCTTGACATGTATAGTGGAGACAAATATATGAACTTGTGAGTTTAGAGCCCATCATTTTGGAGGATTATATGACAATTACTCAAGAAATAGTTCTTTCATCACTTCTTTCAAGTGTCTCATTATAGTTGTTTTGTTTAAAGTATGAGGAATGATTAATTGATTGTATCTCTATCAATTAAAATTTGTTATTGTTCTTGGAAAAGGATTTTATACCATCTTTTGGATAATTTTGAGTCTTAGCTTGTTCTTTCTTACAAGTTTTCCATCTATGCCATGATTGAGTCTATTTGGATGTTCAATTCTTGGCCATAAAGTTTAACCAAGCCAAGTGAAAATAGATATATACCCTACCTTGGTTATCCCTTGAATTGCTAAGTCTTTATCAAGAAAGGTAGGAGATTTATGAGAAAAGCTCAAACATAGGCAACATGAGAGAAAAGGAATGAAGCTGAAAAGAAAAGGAAAATCAACAAAATCTTTGAATAAAAGAAAAAAAAAAAAAGAAGAAGCCAAAGGCTAGGGAAAGAAAAAGGAATGTAAAAAAAAATGTTCAAAGGAAGGAGTCAAGTGTGCAAAAAGTATCTTTCAATAATGGTGAATTAAAATACCTTATTGGAAAGAGAGATACATCAATGGCGTTATTCTTATTACTTTAACATTCTTTCACAGGATTATGTCAAGATTGATTCATTGTTAATGCTTTTCATTGTTAGAAATATGTGTGATATACGTTTTTCGTTAACATAAATTTTGCCCACATATACTTTGATTGAAACAATCATGATAGTTAGAGAGATCTATTTTGAGTGAAATCAGGGAGAATTGACATCAAAGCTAATTTTGGATAACTAAAAAGAGATGGGAATTCGGTTTGATAAATTTTTTGAATTAGTTGATGTGACACACACACGAGTTTCTGATGATAATATGTGTGAATGTTTGTGTATATCATTTAGGCTTGAAAATAGCTATGTGTGAATGAGCTTAAATTCTATTGGGATATTGTGATTTTTGTTGAATTTAATGAAAGTGGTGCAATTGGAATAGCTAAAATAGAGAAGTTTGTAGGTATCTTTTTTGAAAACCTTCACGAAACAAAATTCATCCACTAAGGATCACTTAGGGGTTTAAAAGCTTATTGCATAGACTAAATGCAATCATGATTGCCTACAAAAATGGTCTATAATTAATTAGTTTTTAGTTTGTGCTTTAAAATTTAAAGGCATGAAATTTTGGGTTTTAATTGGATCAGGTTTTATTGCATAAATTTTTTAGGAATTTGGCATGAATTAGATCATTGGTTTTTATTTCTGATGTTAGGTTAGATATTAGTTAAGTTTAGGATTAGTTAAAAGAAAAAGAAGAAAAAAATTTAAAAAGAAGCAGAAAATAGGAATTTTTCAAGAGTTTTGGAGTTCTATCGATAGAATGTATATTTACTATCAGTAGGCTCTGAGCAGGGAGTTGTTCTACCTGTAAGTCGTGTATCACCTACTCGTAGGTTTTGAATTTGAGGCGGTAAATAACGGTTTATGTGGGAATTCCAAGGGTTTTCTTTACAACTTCACTATAAATACTTCTCTTTCTTTCTAGAAAACCTTAGAAAAACTTGTTCAAGTCCTTTGTTGCCTCAAATCTCTCCAATTTCAGCTTGATTCTCTTATTAATCTTAAATTTCAAGAATGGCTGATAGGAAAATTCTTTCCCAAACTGATTTTTCTTACAAAAGCTATGGGTCTATCCTAGTAGCTTGGGTCCTTGTGGTTGCCATAGTTTCTATGGTTGTGGCAAAGATTCCAAGAACAAGGTCAAGTCGAATAACTAATGTTGGGCTACCCCTTCAGGTCGGACATTTGCTAGGGAGAAGGGCAAGAGGAAGAGGGCAGAGTCGGACGATGAAGAGAAGAATGGCATACCTACAATGCTTAGGAAGACTTCATCCTCAAATCCTTGGGTTGCAAGTCTCTGGTTTGGCTTCTCTTTGCCTTTGTACACTCAAAGATGATGGAAGAAATGATCCCTGATTCTAAGAGTGAGAATGATGGTTCTGGGTCGGATGGAGACGAAGCTTAATCTGAGGGATATCCTTACTTCTAAATCAAAGTGATAGAATTTAAAAGTTACCTTTTTGTGAGAGTTAGTATATAGGGTGTAGTAGAACCTTAGGTGTTTTCTTTGGAGTAGTTGTTTTGATTAAGGCCTAGGTAGAAAAATCTTTAGGAGGTTAGGTTTTATTTCTTTTTTGGAGTTAGTCTATAAAAGATGATGACATTATGAATGAATATATCTTTTAGATCTTATGTGCCTTGTGTTCTTTTTAATTTATGCTTTGTGATTTGATCCCTTGGGTTATGTTATTTTAGCCATGGATGTTTGAAAATTTGTTTTACTCGTTTCGATGTTTCGATGTTTGCTAGGGACTAGCATAGCCTTAGTTGGGGGGTGTGTTGAGTGCTCAATATTGTGTCATTTTATAGCTTAACATATGCACTTTAGGCTTGCTAACAAACTAACTTGCTTCACTTACTGTGTATTGCATCTTATGCTTTGATTTCTATGTTTGCAGGTAGTTTAGGTGTAAAGGTGGAGATTACACATTGGTGGACTGGCAAGGGACAAGTTGAGATTGAGTTTTCTTGAGAGAAGATGAAGCTGGGAGCCTTGGAAGTTATTTTGGAAGAAAAGAGAAGTTCTACCGGTAGAAAGACAGAAAAATGAAGGTTCTACCGGTAGTAAGTCAGTTCTACCAATAGCTTGAAGTACATAAGATTAGTGTAGAAGTGCTAATGGTAGGCGAAGGATGTTCTACCAGTAGAAAAACTTACAAAAGTTTATACATTTTGTCATTCGAGAAGTCCTACCGGTAGATGGTAGATGTTATACAGTAGGAAATGTCCCAATTCTTTGTCAGAAGAAGTCCTACTGATAAGTGAATGGTGTTCTATTAGTAAGAAAACCCACATAAATTTTAGAGATTTTATCATAACAAAGTTCTGTTAGTAGGTTCCATTATTCTTTTGGTAGGTCGTGCTACAAAAGGAGTTGCTACCAGTAGGAAAACTTACAGAAGTTTATACATTTTGTCATCAAAGAAGTCCTACCAATAGATGGTAGATGTTATACTAGTAGGAAATGTCCCAGTACTTTGTCAGAAGAAGTCCTACTGATAGGTGAAGAATGTTCTACCAGTAAGAAAAGTCACAGAAGTTTTAGAGATTTTATCATAACAAAGTTCTATCGGTAGGTTTCATTATTCTACTAATAGGTCATGCTACAGAAGGAGTTGCTACCGGTAAGTAAAAGCAGATTTTCACGGGAAACTCAATTAAAGATCAAATTTTGCCAAATCTTTTGAGGATTTTCAATCAATCAAAGGAGGAGATAATTTTGGGATGGATATGTGTCAAAGATCTGAAGATTCTCCTTCCTACCAGAAAAATAGAAGACCTTATGGAGAATACATATATTACATTTTTTTTGAGATTTTCCCTAATTTTCTCTGTTTTTCTACGTTTAGAGAGTGTTAGGGTAATTCAGAGCCTTGTTGTTGTTCTTTCTTTTGTATTCTATTCTTTCAATCGTTCTAGCAATCATAAATTCATTTGTCTTCAATATTCTAAGCTTTGTTATTTGAATTCAATATTTCAATACAAGCATTTACTTTTAAGTCAATCTTTACTTTTCTGAATCGAATTAATTCTTCTTTAATATCTTGTGTTGTTTACGTTATCATGAATGAGTAGTCTATCTCTGGATAATCTAAAGAAGGTGTCCCAACCTATAAACTAGGGTTTTAATGTTTATGTGATTGTTGAATGAGTTATGCTTTCCAAAACCTACTTGGTTTGCATACTTCCCAATTATGTATATACAATTAGTTTTGATATAGATAGTTAGTGGTGTTTTATACAATCTTTAGGATATTGATTCTTTCATCATATATTATTTCTAGTTGCTACTTTTGATTCTTTCCAAAGGTTGAAGTTGAAAATCATCCGTCTATACTAGTTTGAATACGAAAACAAATGAGTTAGTGATTTATAGTAAGAATTTGTGTTCATAGGTAGGATGAATTTTGAAGATTATCTAGTTTTTCTAACTATATAATTTCATTTTTATTAGTAATTAAGTTCCAAACTCTTGAATTTCAAAGAATTTTTCCTTTTTTTCCCATCACCTTGGATTCCAAATCTTTCTCTGAGGAGACAACCTTGGACTTCTGTTCAAGTTACTACACGATATTTTTCTCTTACGTTTGGGAGCACTTCCGAAAATACAACCCTTTAGAGGGCAAGCAGTGGTTGAGTTCTTTGTCAAATTTCCCTTATAGTGCCTGTACACCACAATTCCCTCCCTCCCCCAACTCCTCCCAATCACACTTCATAATACAGGAAAAGAAATAAAAAAGGGGAGAGGAGGATGATGAAATGAAAAAAAAATCAAAAGAAAAGTAGAAGAGCACATGGTTTTGAATTATGGTAATGACTGCTGTAACAGTAACAATAACGTTACAACAGAAACGGATGTTAAGTAACAGTAATGAAAAATCGGAGTTGTGAATTTTTATTTTCTATTCACAACTCGCCTGAAAAAGTGAATTTATGTATGTTTTAACTTCAAAATTGTTTAGATATGTGTTTTTAGTAGTTTATAGTTTATTTTATTGTGTCATTTAAGGTACTTTAGATCATAAAAAAGTTTAATTTATATCATAATTTAAACATGATATAGTTTTATAATAATTTTAGGCGAAGAAAAAAGAAAATATTGACATAATAAAAATAAAAAAACTAAAAAAAATTGTTCTATTCCATTGGATCAGTCTAGACCCACCTTTCCTAGGAACCGAGGTCCCGGCCCATACATTTTTACAAAAGAACTGATGAACAGTAGAGTCTATACAGCATGTAAGTTTCTTTCTCCAATTGTGCAACTGTCACTCGGGTCAGGTGGCAGGGTCATCGTTTCACACCAAAACCCTTATTTGTAATGGTGTTTTGCACATAAGTGCAACATATTGTTTTATTCATGCTTCTCTTTCTCTCTCGGTGTCTATACCCACTGTTCGGCACCAATAAGCTGCAGCCGATGAACTGAACTAGAAGGAAGAAAGAACTGTGGAAAAAACCATCTTCCTCGTCTGTAAACTCCATGAAATAATGGAGGTTTGTGGCCAATGCATGGTGCCCATGGCGAATAGACTTCGAAATGCCAGCCGGAGAGATTTTTGCTGCCGAAAAAGAGCGTGCTACCGATATCTATTGGTGAGCTTTCATCGATTTTGTGAGATTTTTGTTTACCAAACTAATTGATGTGGATGAAAATCGTGGCCAATTTATCTCAGCAAAGCTTGCAATTTTTGGTTTTTTTTCAGAATTATTTTGATTTTTGAGAAAAATCGGAAAATAGACAAAAATTGGCACGGGTCGACCTGTTACAACCTAATAACAGCCGTAACGGACCCGTTGCGACCCGATAATGGCCGTTACTTGCGTGAATTTCATTCTATCCATTACATCGATACGTCAAGGGTGTTTTTCAGAACTATGGAAGAGCATCTATTTTATCTATTGTGTAAGCACTTTTAGCAATAAAACATCGTCAAATTCTTCCCGATGATCCTTTCAGTTTTCACTTGCTGTTGACAATGCTTGTGTTTTGGACAGACACAATGCATATTTTTGGGGAAAATGAAATATTTCTGTATCATCAGGATATAGCATTCCTCATTAAAGTATGATACCCACCCTCAAGATGATACAAATGCTTTGGGGAATGATGTTTTTTTCTACTTGTATATTTTTTTTTCAGCCCTCTCATCTTGGAATTGCATTTGGGTCAAGGAATGAGGTTTGCCGGGACAGTGGCAATGAACTAGGAGTCTTTGGATGATACGTCTCGATTTTATTTCCCTTTTCATCATAAACTATTGTGTCGTCTTCATCTGGGACTTTACATTTTTCCCCTAATATGATTGTCTTTTTCCAAATTGAGTCTTCGTGCTTCAATTTTTTCTCTCGCTTTTTATCATTGTCCTCTCTTCGAGATGATTGTCTTGATGTCATCCCACTTCCTAGCACCCTCATGCTCATGCTTGAGGATAGCTTCCCCTGTGATGTTGTTGAATCGGTCCAGTGGTGGTAAGAAGCTGCCCTCATATGGTGCATGCCCGGTGGAGGAGGCAGTGGTTGTTGCAATTCAGTGTTTTGTTGTTGAGCCGTGTCTGCGGTTTCCCCTAACTCGACTGCTGCTATTGTTGATCTCGTTGCGTCATCTGGCGTTGGAATAATGACATCCGAATTTTCTGCTGTTTTATTTCTTGCAGCTGACGAGGGAGGCGATTTTTTTCGCGATAAAGAACCACAGAGGGATGAAACTATGGCAATTGTGGCAGCAATACAGGCCATGATTAGGGACAATAATAGCACTGGATGGATTGACTGATTTTCGCCTGTAGGAACTTTTCTTCCCATGGCTGTGATTTTAACAAAATAAATAAATATAAGAATGTCTTGCTCTGTTTCTTATTTTTGCTTCTCTTTTCAAGGAATACAATGTTCAAAACCGGTTGTACCGGATTGCTTTGGTTGATTGTACTAGACAATAGAGATTGCATATGAAATGGTATTTTTTTCTGATTTTCTTTGATCTCTATTGGTATTGAAAACAGATTGCTAGATTTGAGGACTGGAAGGCCAAAACTAGAGGCTGACAATCATTGTTCTTATTTTGGTAATAGAAAATACTTTCACTGTCGAGCATTGAGTTCCTATTTTTAGCATTTAATTAGTTTTTTTTTTTGACTGTGCCTTTTAATTAGTTGTACACTTATTACCTTGTAGTCCTATTCTCTCTCTTTTTTTTTTTTGTTAAATTAAATAATCCATGCTTGAGATAAAGCATAATTACCATCCATCTTCCCTAGTTTTAGAAACTATAATCTGACCTTTAAAGCTTGATGATAAGTAATAGTTGACTCAACCTGGTAATTAACCAATTGAATTTTGCGGATGCGATCTATTTTTTTTCTAAAATATCTATTTTATCTGTCTTAAAATGAAAACGTAAAAACATATGAAAATTAAAAATATCATATAAAGAAACAAAACAGCAACTCCCCGACCCCCCTTTCTTTTTCCAGGGGCAGCCGGTCGATATCAACCCCAAAAGTAGCTCCCCACACCACACCACCAGCTGAACATCGCCCAATATTCAGTGATGGATGCTTGGCTAGGGTCCAACCCTTCCTTGGAGAATCCTCCTCTGGGCAAGCAAGCATGGAATAAGGTACCATTTGCAAAGTTGGAGATGGAGGAAAACTAAAATTTGGGATGATGATGACTTACTAGACTCACCACTTTTCCCGTCATTAGCCCTTGTAGTATGTTGAGTCCAAATTCACTAGTTTGTTCTCTAGTAGATACTAATAGGAGTATAGGACTACGAGTTGGTGGAAATAGGAAATCCTTTTTGTGTTTGGATGCTGAAGTTATTTGTTGGGTGTCGCTGAGTCCTAATTTCCCTAATTACCAAAAGATCTGGCATTATGTAAGATTCGGAAATTACAATGGTAACAGGTAAAACGTTTAATTGTTGAGAGGATTTGCATTTGGCTCATTTGAATCAAATTGCTACCGAGCAGAGCAACTGAATGGTTGCGCACTACAACAAAAACAAGTTTTTCCTACAAAATTTTTAACTAGGAAATATATTTTGTAGGTAAAAAATTAAAATTTTTTGGGGCAAATAATATATACATGCCCACCCACACCTCACCAAGGAAAATAAGAAAAGTACTTTAATTTAATCGAAAAAAAATTCGTAGCTAATAAAATAAATTAATTTTACTTTTTTTTTTTGAATAATTTTTTTCAAGTTTGGCTACAAAATAATTTGTCAGTAAAACTTAAAAAAAATTTATTTGAGAGTCACTGACGAAATTCTTTCTTAGGTGAAAGTTGATGAATTGAAACTACATTGTTTCAACATCTACATTTACCCTAAGCCATCGGTGGCTTCTCGATTCGTCCGCAAAATTTTCCTTTTGATGGTCAGAACATCGTCTTCTTCAGAGATTGTCTTCTTCAACAACAATCTCTCTACCATCAATCATCTGTCTTAATAAATCCTCTAGGGCATAGAATTGTAAGTTTTAACGTTCGATTTCTCTCCAACAGATCTTTAAAGATCCTCTTCTTCAACCTTCGATTTGTCTGCCATCAATAATCTCAGTAGAAATCATATATTTTTTGACAATTTTGTTTTGTAAGATTGTGATGAAATTGAACAACAAGACAAACGTTGTGCATTTGATTAGAATGAATTTGTTTACTATTTGTTTCCAATAGTAATCACATTTTTTATGACATTTTTGTTTTGTAGGATTTTGATGAAATTGAACAAGAAGACCGTCTCAATTGAATTGAAGAACAACATTGTTGTTCATGGCGCCATCACGACTTGTACACACACACGCTCTCTCTCTCTCTCATCCCAGCTTCATTTAATTTATAGGGTTAAACCCAAGGTTATTGTATCCGACGACCATTTTTGTTGATCTGTTAGATCAAGCCCTTAATTTTTATCTTATGGACTTGATGTGAAGCTTAATATCCGTAACACCCAATCCCACTATACTAATATTGAGAAATAAAATTTAGGCAACCACTTTACGTAGGCAATAATGCTGTTAATGTGTCTATTGTATTAAAAGAAAAACCCATCCTAAAAATATTTTACTTTGGATCACTTTTTAATAAAAGTCACACGCGTGCGGCACTCCGACTCACTACCATGCAATATTTACATAACACAAAAACTATTTTTAAAGTGTTGCTTACTCAGCAAAAAGGGAGAACAAAGATATTTACATTATATACAACCCAAAAGATTTTTAAAAAAAAAATACCAGAAATTGACATGAGTCCTCCCCCAACAACTCTTGACTGGACTTCTAGTTTCGGCAGTGGACTGCAAGCTTGTGTACAATTTACCTAAAAAGATTTTCAAGGAAATTCTTCAATGAGTACACATTAAATATTTTCAGAAAATAGAGCAAAGAAAGTAATGAGACACCCTTGCTCATCGATAGGAATCTATTATTCACGATTCCATAATTTATTCCCAATAACCTATTCTGTTGCCCTACAATCTCACATAGAGATAACTGTCTCGCCACCTAGGCAACAAAACTCAACACAACTTATCATCATATCGATATAAGTTTGTTACTTAGACAACTCAAACGAAAATATTTATCTTTTTATTCGTCTTCTAGACAACTCATGGCACAACAATAATTTCAGTTCCCGCCACTTAGACAAAATCTACCATAACTTATCTCAGTCACAAAGACAAACTCGAACACTTGCTTTAATTTAGTCACATAGACAATCTATTCTAACAATTGGTTTTCATCCCTTGGATGTCTTGACTATCCAAACAAATTACTTCACTTAGACATCCGATACTTAGACGTCTCAATCCATTTAGTTTTTCTTTTTACATGTCACACAGACAACTCAATCATAATATTGGAGTCCGTCACGATGACATCTCTTTTCCATCGTAGTACTATGACACTTAAGCCATTGATTCACTATAGGACTCATAAGATAGACAGTCACACGTATAATTAATCATTTATACATAGATAAAACAAGGATTAGTGTACTTACCAATCTGGAACAAGTGAGGATAATTGGTTCGCATGACTTCCTCGGCTTTCCAAGTTGTTTTTTCGACCGTTTGGTTCTGCCCAAGGTTCTGAGTATCGGCCGAGTCGTATCCGCCTCAGCCATCACCGATCCGATACTGCTACACAGTACGCGAATAATACAAGACTCAAGCGAATCGGAGTTGACTCGGTCACGACTCAAAGGTATCAGTTGAAATCGGAGTCGAATTGTTTGAGTCGGACCGAGTCATCAACAGATCAATGTAAAAAACCAATAAAAAAGAGAAGGAGAGGAGAAGAAGACCAATTTCACATTCAGATTTACAGACCCAAAGATGCAGAAACCAAAGTAGAAGAAATCAACAAACCCTAAAATAAAAATTGAAAGGATTTGCAAAAAAATTTGTAGATCCTGTACATACAACGAACCAGATCAGTCCAGCCCACCCAAAGTCTCCCCCTCTCAGTCTCTTTCTCTCACTCTATCGTTTCGCGCCTCTCTCTCTCTTTTTCTTTCTCTTTCTATTTCTCTTTCTCTGGTTTTGTTCATCGCTACCACAGTAAGAGCGACTGAGTGAGAGGTGAGAACTTATTCTCAATTTATTTTATACACAGATATGCTTTTTTTCGTTTTTTTATATTGTGAACCTTTAATCCTCTCCTTATACATACTAACACATTTTGTTTTAATAACAATAAATTGATGTCACATGCTTGCGACCCAATTAATTCCACATGCGCTAACGTACATAAAATAACAAATTCATATTATATGCCAACATTCCTATTTAATTTTTCATACTTAAATAAAACAATTCTCCCTATAGTCATTATTTATACTTTATTTCTGAATATTAAAATATTCATCGTTTGGGTTCAAGTCTCATATCATTACTCTTAATTAAATATTGATTGTCAATCCTACACATGCATATCACATGTGAATATGCTTGCTACAAATATTATATGTTTCTCATGCGTGTTCGGGTCTTATAATATCTACTTAATTTTTTGGCACTTCCAGTCTTAGTGTGTCAAAATCAACAACTACTGCTTCTCCACTCGTTTTGTGGCACTACCAATTTATCAACATTGTATGTTGATGTTTGATTTAGCTCATATAGTTTGATTAGTGCTTGTGTCATGTGTTAATCGAGTCAATTCATTCATTTCAGTCACCAACTCATCATGAATTGTATAAATTGTGATTGTGTGGATGTTGTTTACTGCACTTGGTTTTTGTTTGCCATATAACCTGTCTTACTCAGTTATGCCCTTATATTTTTACCAAAATGGGAATGATTAAATGTTTAGAAAAATAAGATTACGTTGTGAGTAGTTATAAGAATTTCATGCGAATGGATTGTCAATATCTCAATTGTATGCATAGTTATAAGAATTTGTCACATATTGAAATTTGTTTGTTATATGCTGAAGAACAACCTTGAGGCAATGAGTTGGCCTATATACAGACTGACTAGGATGATTTGTAGAGGTATTTTATATAATTACCCTTTAGTTTCAAATGATTTGCATGTGATGTTCAAGGTAATCAAAGTTTTTTGATGGGTCAGCTGCATAAGTCTTGAACAAATTTTATGATATTGCTTTGGAGTGAAAGCTCCAGCTGTGGTCCATATTTAGTGGCCTCTATCATTCTTAATATCTTATTTTCGACAAATCTGTATGTGGGTGTGAAGTGGAAGGAGTTGAGTTGGAGCCAGAAAGCTTCAGCAAAAGCTGAGGCTGCGGCAGCCCTCTCATGCTCAGGCCATGGGAGAGCCTATTTGGATGGTTGCTTGTTGATGGAAAAGCTATTTGTGAGTACAATTCATGCTTCTAAGGCTCTGATTGCTCTGCTTTCTCATTTGATTGTGTTGCGGATGCAGACAGGTTACATCTCTGTGTGTGTGTGTTTGTGCGCTTGAGAGAGATAAAAGCCTTGGCCACTATTTGGGTATTGGCAGATAGAGGATGAAAGAGTGGTTAGTGAAGTAAAATTAATTACTAATTCAATTTAGAGAATTAGGAAGTTTTTGCCAAATTTTTTTTTTTTGTTATGCTATTTGATCACAATCTTTCTCCAAAACTCATCCTATACATTCATGTTTGGAGATATGGTAGGCTAAAGTATGACTGAAATATATAGAGTGAATCTTTTGCTACTATTGATATAGTCCATTAAAAGACAGAAAGTGTATAGAAGAGATACAAACAAAGAACTTAAACATAACATCTTTTTCTAGGCCTTTCATATCTGATTAAGGTGTACGTATGTGCCTTTATACCATAGCTTCATTAATAATTAAGGTGCAAAATGTTGGGTTGTATGTTCACCTCTGCATTGGACCTTATGTTCGTGCCGAATGGGAATTTGGGTATCTTCCACTCTTCCTTTTGGTTGCTTTCTTATTTTTTCTTGTTCTTTTTGGTAGATCTCTGTGTTGTGTTACTCCCTTTATTTTTACATTTCATAGTAAGTACTGCTATTGATTTTGTGTTTTTAATTCTCGATACTAACATTTTGTTTTGAACTCCATAGCATATGAGAAGTTGAATTGCCGTCTCATTCTCTTTGCTGACTGATGCAACATTGGATATTGGCTCGCGTCATGTTACTTGATGCCTAGACAATGACACAATGTCAGCTAAAAATTCTAGAGCTGCTATTGATTCTGAAGCTTCAATACCCTTTCTATTTTCACATGACTGTGGTGCACTCGGATTAAATTATGCTCCAGTTATGCAAAATTTGTACAGTGAATACTACTCTTATTTTCCCCAGAACAAAAGCTTCAATAATCCGAATGATATGATTTTTTGCCTAGGAAATAGTTTCCTCAGTAAAAAAAAAAGTGCCTTGTCGGGTAATAGTGATTTTTGTAGGTGTAGGTAAACTTCTTGCCTAGGAAATATTTCCTCAGCAAAAGTGAACTTTTACTAAGGAATCAAAAAGTTTGTCGAGAAATATATTCAGTGTCCGCCGTGCTTCGATGAACACTGTGACCAAATTTTTCTTAGGTGATAACTGTTGGCCACAAATATTCAGTTTTTCCCGAGGAAATTTTCCCTAGGGAAAAGCCTTATTTCTTGTAGTGACATCGTAAGCACTTTCGGTATCCCTCTAACCTTGATTCGGAAATTTCAAAGTGTTTCAATATTATGTAAATAAACAATGAATGACATTTGTCTCTAAAGTAAATTTGATGTGCACATGGCAGTAATTTGATAAATGCATGAGGAAGCAAGTCAGTAAATTTGATGTGCACATGGCAGTAATATGATAAATGCATGAGGAAGCAAGTCAGTCGACATGACTTTTAAAATTGAGAGACTGTTACGTGAAAGTTCCTGTTCTGAAGGAGTAGATGATGTAGATGGTGGTAAAAAATAATTAGGGATGGGAATGGAAGAAAAAGGAGATGAGAAGAAGAAGAACAAGAAGAACAAGAAGGACAAAGAGAGAATTTGAGAAAAAATGATTCAATATCAATATTCAATAATAATTAAAGTCTAATCTCGCAACAAATATTTATCCTCTAAATATATAAGGAGTTCACAAATCCTATATATATAAGGAGATCACAAACCCTAAAATAAATAAATAATTAAAATGTCAGCTAAACCCTTTAAAGTTAAAAGAAATATTTAAAAGATAAATACTAAATTAATTTAATGATTAATCTAAAATATCTAATCAATTTCTACACAATCTCCATCATTCTCTTCCGGCTGAGAAAAACTCTCCTCCAGAGAGTCTTCAAAGTAGAAATACCCTAACAGAATGAAGATGAAAGAACGTTTCATCTACAATGAAAGACCATCAATATTTTTCCATCGATTAGAATAAATGCAAGAATTTTCATTTGTAGCAATGTAAATTTGGTCACGTAGCACATCGTCTATTTGCCCCAAAATACGCAATGGAAGTAGAAAGATAAGAACTAGAGCTAATGCTGAGGAATAAATAATTCCACTTTGTAGAAACACATGATAAGAAAATAGGAGGTTCTAGAGTACCTCGATTAAGTATTATGTCCTCCAAATAAAAATCTGGACTAATACTAACATTCAATAAAAAAAATTAAGCAAATAAGCATTAGATCCAAACTCAAGAATAGCAAAATAATTCCCATTAAATTTGAACAAAAAACATTCAGTGGGTCAAGACATCAATCACAAAGGAGTAACTATAACACCCTAGTGCTGAAAATGAGAAAGTCAAGACTCAATTGAACACTTGATAGTAGGCAAAGAATCAAAGTTAACACTCTCAAGTGGGGCAAAATTCAAAACAATGTTAATAAACCCAAGTTGGGAAGAATCCGTAACAAAGTCATGATGACTTGGACAAGTAGACATAGAATAGTCACTAGTAGATTCTGCAATAAATGACTCGATGCATAGGTTTAGACTCAACAGACTTTTCCACAATTTTCAAGACCAATGAAGGTTCAAGAATTGACACAAGAAAAGACTCACAAACTTTATTTTGATATGAACTCTTGTGGGTGCAAAGGAGGAGGACTTTGATCTGATGAAATTGAATGAGGGAGTTGGAAGTCAATATGAGTAACATTTTTCTCTTCATTCGATACTAGCATATCTAAATTCTTTGTCACATTCGGATTAGGAAAACATGCAGAAACAACATGGACATCGTTCAAGTAATCGTGATACTCATATGTGGTAGAATTAAAATTGGAAGGTATCCTTTCACGTTGTTTTGCAGATTGTGATTGAGAACCCATCAAGCTATAGTTGAATTTCTTATGAAATCTCTCAACTTTTAGAGCATATTGATAGGCTGCAACTATCGTATTAAAAGTGTATAGCTTGACCTCCCTACTAATTTTTTGTCTTAATCCAATAATAAACTGATCAATTGTCCAAGGTTCTTCAACAATGTCACACAAGTACATGAGATAATCGAACTGGACAAAGTAATCAGAGACACTAGAAGAATGTTGTCTAAGATTGAGCCATTGGTCATAAACTTGATCCATGTAAGAAGTAGGCAAATACTTCTCTTTCAATTTATATTTCATTTTAACCCAAGTGATAGGTGATTCTTTTAAGGGGTCTAGGCTTCTTTGGATTATTTGCCAATACTGTTTGGCGGAACACTCCAACATCAATTTAGCAAAATGGACGCAATGGGAATCCGATATATCATGCCAATCAAAATATTCTTCTAAATTAGCTAACCAATCCAAGAATTGATTGGGATCTAAAGTGCCACTAAATATAGAAGGATCTTTGACTCTAGTGTGGTCATATGGGTTAGTTCCCATGTAAACATACCTAGACTTCCTATGATGATGACCTCAACGAGAGACTCTTGAAACATGTGCATTAGAGGAACTCATGATTGACTCTTGAAAGATGAGAATGATATAAGAACAAGTTTAAGAATACAATTGACAATTTCAAGAAAGTTTAAATAGAAGAAAATATGTTTTGGACCATTTACAAATTCTCTAATTTTCCAATGAATAAAAATAATAGTTTCAAATTCTATGAGAGTATGCATATCATATTCAAGAGGAAATTGTGAAACTTTTTGGAGATGATTCTACAATTTTGGAACTTCTAGAGGAAATATTATGCAATTTTTTAAAAATTTTGGTGATGATTTTGCTACTTTTGAAACTTTTTGGGGTGTTTCTATAATTTTTGNAATAATAGTTTCAAATTCTATGAGAGTATGCATATCATATTCAAGAGGAAATTGTGAGACTTTTTGGAGATGATTCTACAATTTTGGAACTTCTACAGGAAATATTATGCAATTTTTTAAAACTTTTGGTGATGATTTTGCTACTTTTGAAACTTTTTGGGGTGTTTCTATAATTTTTGGAACAACTGGGATGTTGCTGACATTTTCAAGACTGCAGGGATAGTACTGTTTTTTTTCTCTTTTGACTGGTTTTTTTTCTTGTTGGAATGAGACCAGAAAAACAATGAATAGTGCGCGATGAACATTTTTTTTTTTTTGTGATTTATACGAATTGAAGTTGGGCTCCTGATACCAAATTGATGTAGATCGTAGTAAGGAAGAATTAGGGATGAGAAGGAAAGAAGTAGAGGATGAGAAAAGAAGAAGAAGNATTTTTTTTTTTTTGTGATTTATACGAATTGAAGTTGGGCTCCTGATACCAAATTGATGTAGATCGTAGTAAGGAAGAATTAGGGATGAGAAGAAAAGAAGTAGAGGATGAGAAAAGAAGAAGAAGAAGAAGAAGAAGGGGATGACGATAGAGAGAGAATTTGAGGAAAGAAGATTCAATATCAATAATCAATAATAATCAATGTTTTGGACCATTTGTAAATTCTCTTATTTTTCAATGAATAAAAATATTAGTTTCAAATTCTATGGGAGTATGCATTTGATATTCAAGAGAAAATTTTGAAATTTTTTAGGGATGATTCTGCAATTCTGGAACTTCTAGAGGAAATATTATGCAATTTTTAAAACTTTTGGTAGTGGTTCTGTAATTTTTTGGGGTGTTTCTATAATTTTTGGAATAGCTGGGACGTTGCTGCAATTTTCAAGACTACAGAGATAGTATTGTTTTTTTTTTTGACTGGTTTTTTTTCTTGTTGGAACGAGACCTGAACAGTGGAGACCATAACAACGATGAACAGAGCGTGATGAACAATTTTTTTTTTTTTTTTGTACGAATCGAAGTTGGTCTCTGATACCAAATTTGATGTAGATCGTAGTAAGAAAGAATTAGAGATGAGAAGGGAAGAAGAAGGGGATGAGAGAAGAAGAAGAAGAATGAGATGAGGATGAAGAGAGAATTTGAGGAAGAAAGATTCAATATCAATAATCAATAATAATCAAAGTCTAATTTCACAACAAATATGTATCCCCTACATATAGGGAGTTCACAAATCCTATATATATAAGGACATCACAAACCCTAAAATAAATAAATAATCAAAAATGACAACTAAACCCTTAAAGAAAATACTTAAAAAATAAATGCTAAATTACTCTCATGATTAATCTAAAATATCTATCCAAATGATGAAAATCGTGTAGGAATTAGATAGATATTTTAGATTAATCATGAGAGCAATTTGGTATTTATATTTTAAGTATTTTTTTTTGGCTATCTAGGTGACATTGGTTTTATGTTGTCGTTGTTGGTGGCTGTGTTGGGAATTTTGACGAAAGCTTTGTGATGACGATGAATAGCAACAATACAACTAATTAATGATGATTAAATAGATTCTATGGTAGCAGCAGTATTGAATTGAGATTAGGCTTTGATACCAAATTGATGTAGATCGTAGTAAGAAAGAATTAAAGATGAGAAATGAAGAAGAATGAGATGAAAAAAGAAGAAGAAGAAGAAGAAGGGGATGAGGACATAGAGAGAATTTGAGCAAGAAGGATTCAATATCAATAATCAATAATAATCAAAGTCTAATCTCACAACAAATATGTATCCCCTATATATAAGGAGTTCATAAATCATATATATATATATAAGGAGATCACAAACCCTAAAATAAATAAATAATCAAAATGACAACAAAACCCTTAAAAGTTAAAAGAAAATACTTAAGAAAGATAAATACTAAATTACTCTCATGATTAACCTACAATATCTATCCAATTTCTACACGATCTCCATCAGTAGATGGTTACACTAGAATTCAAAAAATAGTAGTTATCAAAAACTGACTGTCTTTTGAAGTCTGAGAAGGAAAAGATAAGACAAGAGAAGAAAATGGAAGATAATTGCTCGAAAACAACTGCAACCATCGGTGGTGAGAGATGCCTAGGAAAGGGGCACAAATTACAAAGAGGAGACCACAATAAAACTTATCAAAGACCCACAACTTGGACATTTTGGGTGTA